CAAGAAAGTCAACCGAAATCAACGACTGCTGAGTATGATCGGTGTATTCAGGCTTATGCCCAGCGTTCTATAAGGATCCCTAGTACACACAACATATGAGTTGGGTACACCCAATGTTCTACCAAACGAGCAAGATCGGGGACCGATCAGCATATGCGTAACGTACACATACATACGCCCAACGTACGTGCCCGTTAAGCACTTTCCCATTAAGTGCTTAATAATTGCAACCAAAATTGCAAACTTCATATCCAAGTCTTATTAAATTTCTAAATCCGTAAAGTCATGAACTTGGAGCCTTTACATGGATCAAAAGTAACCAAACCTCACTTTTAGCATTCTACTTTCACCATAATGACCTAAACACATGCATGGTTGATCCTCAACTATCAAGATGTCAATTTTATGGACTAAGGACCTCAGAAACATCAAGAGAAGGAAATCCTAACTTTTAGAGTGAAAGAAATCAACTAGATCTCATTATATGACCAAAATGGGACCAATACTTCATAAATACTAGATCTAAGAAAACAAAGAGCAGGTTCCAAGCTTTATACCTCAATGATGTTGGAAATGATGTGAGAAAAATGGATCTAGAAGCTCCCATTTGTTCAAGGATCCTTATTCCAAGTTCTTCTTTATCAAATTTCACCAACACACACTAAAACACGCACAAGACGGTTAAGTCTCTTCAAAATGGGCTAGGATTTCAAAAAGTGACTCAAATGGCTTTGGAGGTTGAGAAATGAGAGGTCCAAAGTTCATAATAATCTTGTTTAAATAGGGCCCAAACCCTAAAAATTAGGGTTTCTGCCCAGCATGCGTACGCCCCGCGTATGAAGAGTACGCCCCACATACAACAAGTTTGTCGAAAATGTCAAAACTGACCCCTAGGGACCAAATATGCAATATACTTACATATTAAGGGTAAAAAATGAAAATACATTGAATCGAGTGTTACAACTCTCCTCCATTTGAATCTAACATCGTCCTCGAATTCCCCTTCCACAAATAACTTTGGGTAGTGCTCCTTCATTTCATTTATAGGATCCTACCTCCACTTTAAACCCTTGCAGTGCTGCCACTGCTGCTTTACGAACTTGACACCCTTGTTCCTCGAGGTTTTTGTCTTCTGATCAAGAATCTCCACCAGTATCTCGATATAATTCAGGATATCATCCACCTAAATATAATCTAATGGAACCACTACGAAATCATCGACCAAAAATTTCCGCAGCTGAGAGATATGAGCATGCTATGGATCCGAATAAGCTCCTCGGGAAGATCCAAGTGATAAGCAACCCGGGCCACCTCGGGCCAAACCTATAAAAGGATCAATGTATCTGGGGACCAACTTGCCATTCTTCCTGAATTGGATGACACCTTTCCAGTCGACACCTTCAGAAGAACCATATCCCCAACCTGGAACTCTAGGTCTGATGAACGTTTATCGATATAGCTCATATGTTTTCTCTTTTCTGTTTGAAGTCTACTTCAAACCTGCTAAATCAACTCGGTAGTCTTGAGTAGCACTTTAGTACTCCCCATGAGTCGATGACCGACCTTAACCCTAACATATCGGGGTTCTGCATTTCCTCCCATAGAACATCTCAAAAGGAGGTCGCTCGATGCTGGCGTGATAACTGTTGTTATATGAAAAGTCCTCCAAAGGGAGGTACATATTCCAACTCCCACCGAAAACCAATATGCACGCCCGAAGCATATACTCCAAGGTCTGGATAGTCAACTCCTCTTGAAACCTCTGTCAAAACCTGAAAGTAAATCGGACATCTCTGTCTGAAATCACTAAAACCGACACCCCATGTCGTGCCACCACCTCCGTGATGTATAAGTCGACCAACTTCTCCACAGAGATACTCTCCTGAATAAGAATAAAATGTGTGCTCTTGTTCAACTGATCCACGATGACCCAAATCAAATCCACACCGCACGTTATCTGAGGCAATTTCTTAATGAAATCCATTGTAATCTCTTCATATTTCCAAAGGGTAATGTCTAAAGGTTGCATCCTGCCATAAATTTTCTGATGTTCTGCCTAGACCTTCCTACAATTCAGGCACCACTCCACATACCAAGCTACATCTCGCTTCATACAAGGCCACCAATAATCAAGATATATATATATATATATATATATATATATATATATAGACACACACACACACATACATTTTTATTGCTCCTGGATGGATAGAGATCCTCGACTTGAGCGCCTCCTCCGTCGGAACCTAATACACACCACCCCAATAGGAAACCCAAACCCTCCGATGGAGAGTTAGTAATCCCTGACTATCATAATCAAAGGAAGCCACCTGACCCACTATGCGCACACTCTTTTGGTGCTCTTCCTTCAAAGCATCAACCTGAGCATCTCTAATATGCTCCAAGATTGGAGTAATCACTATCATACTGTAACAAACCGAAATTCGTATCACTGCTTGTAACCCTTTTCGTAACTCTTTTTGATCAACCAATCGTCATTTTCAAATTCGTTTCCGATTTCATCAATTAATTAAGTCATTAAATGGAAATGATCTAAAACGACTTAATAAGTGTCCTAATACATTTAGCAATTATTTTATCACCTCATATTAGTGATCGAAACATTTCTAGAATCAAGCACACCGAGTTATGACAAATTAATCGGGTGCGATCAAATGCCCCGTCTAACGCCGGTATCGGGTAGAATTCGTCTGCGTCCAAATCCCGAACACTATTTAAAGTGTTCTAAGCTTCCATTTGAAGCTTTTGCTTCATCTCACTACTCTCTCTCTAACCTCTCTCCTAAATCCAAGTTTAAGGGTCCAAATCATCAATTTAAGGCTTCAAATCTTTAAGGTAACTTCCCTAACTTGTTATACAACCCCTCTAGCCTTCAAATTCGAGTTTAAAACATGTAACAGGACCATAAACATGTGTTTACGGCCCTGGAACAGCCTTAGGCCGTGAACACATGAAAAGGGGGGTTTTTTGAGCAACAAAACCCTTCCAAACCACAACGAGACTTTAGATATGGCTAAATGACTTCATGGAATGGACTTAGAACACTTTAGGTATGGATTTTGAGGGATTTGAATGAGTTTACAGCTAGGACATATGCTTGGGCTGTAAACCCCTCAAACATGGGAGTAAACACATTTCAAACATGTTAGAAAGCCATCCATCACCACCAAAAGCCTTGGAATAAATCATAGAACCAATGAAAAATAGTTTAGGGACCTTAAACATATCAAAACTCTTCATTTGAGAGTTTACAGCCATAACATGTGATCCAGGGCCGTAAACTCCTAAAAATGTGTTATTTGATGCCCTAAATTCATACCAAGGCTTCTAAAAATTATTGGAATCGCATGTGATGAATCTAAGGCCTTTAAATCACTCATTCAAGGAGAGTTTAGGAGTTTACGGCCGTAAGATCCATGCTAGGGCCGTAAACACCCTTAAGTGTTGTTATTGGTGATTTAAATTCATTCCATGCCTTAGATAAAATTGTTCCAACCCTTCCCAAGTGTTATTGACCCATTAAGCACCATAAATCTTGCCAACATGAGTTCACGGCCGTGAACTCATGTGTGAGTGGTGTATATGGCCGAAAACTCATTAGGGATTTTACTCTTGAAGAGTAAACTCAAATCCCAAGTCCCTCGCATCAATACACGTCCGTAGATGTCACCCGGGTCACTCCAAACACTCATTTTGAAGTGTTTTCGCTCATTGGAGTGTAATATCATATCTAATTAGTGTGGATAAATCTAATTAGATATATTTGTATATCATTTCATAATCCATAGGAATCTTGTGCGTTCGCGAACCCAGAACTGACGTTTAGTATCCAAACTAACGCGTTTCTCAATCGGTGAGTTCATACCCCTACCCTTTTTCAATGGTTTTTAAATGGTTTCAGGGGGAATACAAGCAAAAGTAAAAGAATATCTTGTACTTAAATTCATTATTTCATTTATATGGTTTCATAATTCTCATACTTTTAAGAATTGAAAACTTACTAACAAACTGTTTTAACTCGCAGAGTTGTTTGTTCAAACCGATTTTCAATTCTTATTATATACTGTTATGTTGCATACTTTACAATTGATTGTTCACACTTATATTGATTGAGATTATAAAACATTTGTAAAGTGTGTAATAAACCACCCTAGGCACGAGTATAAAAGACAAACACCATTAGAAAACATAAACCAATCGTAATGACCTTAATAACACACCTAGGCTCGAGTGTAAAGGACAGACACCATTAGAAAACATAAATCAATCGTAATGTCCTTAATAACACACCTAGGCTCGAGTGTAAAGGACAGATACCTTTAGAAAACATAAGAGATTGTAACGTCCTTAATAATACACCTAGGATCGAGTGTAAAGGACAGGCACATTAAAACTTAGTTGGTCATAAATACTATTTCCCTAGGCGAGAAGTAAAGGTAATCTTAAAGATTGGAGACACGTCCTTTGTAATGCTTCCTTGGCACGATAGGGTGGAGGACTTCCCCTATAACCAGAATCTCTGAACGTAGGAGAGCGTGGCTTGAGTGTATAGATCTATACGGGACTAACAATCACGTACCTAGCTGCTAGCTACAGCCGAACCAAAAGGTTCAAGGGTGACGAAAGTCATATAAAGGATAATGGGTAGGCGAACCGGGAAATGGAAGCAATAAATCCAACAGTCACTCTCAAATCGATTCTACTGGACAAGGTTTCAATTTGGTGCTCTCTACATTCTTATCGATTCTACTTTCATTCAAGATTACATTGGTTTTTTTGGTATACAGTAACCGAAGCTTACATTCTCATCGATTCCACTTTCTCTCTCTGAACAAGATATCTCATATTTTCAAAAAGCCCTAAACCAGCCACCGCCGGCTATCACTTCCACCATTGTTCACGTTGTCCTACTTCCTAGATGGTGTGTGTGTGTGTACGCGGCAAGACTGAACAGAAAATGGGAAAGAAAATAAAAAATGAGGCGAACGATAGAGAAGAGAGTTAAGGCCGAGGGGAGGATGCATCGGAGCTGTGGTACTATTGTTAATGTCTTTTCAAAATATAGTAACCTTATTATGGGCTTGAAGAAAAAGATGATCGTTTTCTCTGTTTTGCAGTTCTAGATGGTATGGGTTCACCCTGATATGGTTTAGAGAAGTGTACGTCATCTCTGAAGATCACAATCATCCATACCTTATTTTTAATTTCGCTCTCTCTCTCTCTCTCTCTCTCTCTCTCTCTCTCTTTCTCTCTCTCTAAACATTTCCTCTCTTATTTCTTTCTAAAACCCTAGCCTATCATCATTGAAGAGGAACTTTCGTGTTACTTTCCACCATCTGTGCTGGACAAGACCAGTTTTCACTAGACCAAGCTTTGAATTGGAAAAAAAGAGTTATGGTCAAACTTGGTTGTTGGTTCCATTGAAAATATTAAGTCGGAGGTTGTCCTAAAAGTTGAAGGTATTGTTGTTGAACTTATGAAAGGGAGGCCTAAAAGTTGAAGGTATTGGAGCTTTCATAGATATTCTTGAATCAAATTCTTCATTTGTTTCTTTTTCTCCCTTTTGAAACTTAAATTCACAAAATTGCAGGGTTAGTGGTAAAATTTTGCAATTGGAGAGTGTTACACAGTCAGAAGCCATGAGGAGGCGGTATCGCTACTTGAGCCATTTTTCTTTAACAACCACATTTCAGGTATGCTTCAAAGCTTGCTTAAATAAACAAAGGAAGCTATGGACCATATTCTTCAGCAGCCCCTATTGGTTATAACCCTGGTTCAGCTGCCAATTCCACCTCTAATGAAGACCTTGGTGGGTCCCACTCCCAGTTTAAGGAAACTAATGTTTACATCACTGGCCAGCAGGTTAGTGTCCTTTTTTCTACTTAACATTTTTTATTTTTTATTTTGTTTTGAGTGCTTGAATCACCCATTATACGGATATATTTTCATAGATAGAATGAAGATGTTAGCCATTCTTGTATCAAACTATTATGCACATTTTCTATTTTTTTTAAAAAAATATTAAGTATCTATGGGTTATATGAGAAGGAACGGGACATCCTTATTAATAAACACATCTTTTCTATTATACTTGTAACAGTCATTTGTCTACAGAAGCTTAGTTATACATAAATCAGTAATTTGTAAATGGGTTTACTCAATTATAACACTTGTTGTTATCTAATTACAGGTTTCTATTGTAATAGTAAGCGGATATTTTATGACAAGTTGGAGATGCATAAAAACTTTCAGGTAGCACTACTACTACTACATTTCATCATTAAAACCTCGCTCTTTTAATCTGTTTTATTTCATATTTTTTATTTGACTTTGATTGCAGAAGAACTTGGAGTTTTGTAATCAATTTTATCGGTCTTATTTTGTGCGGATTGTGCAAGAAATATTTGATGTGATGACCGACAGTTTCCATAAACTGGGATTTAAGTTACATGTGTTGGTGCTGCAACACTTATTCTGCATGGTATGTATATCATCTCTAGGCTAATTTTTATTTGAATCATATGCAAGTATATAGGAGTATAATATATGTTGACGTGGCAAATAATTGTAGGTGGAATCTAGGTCATTGACTGAGCCTTTGTGGGACACGTCAACTGTTTCATATCCGTATCCAAACAACGGGATGTTTGTGAGAGACAGAGATAGTACACTATTAAGCTTCTTGGTGCCTCTTTTCCAAATATTCCAGCATATGAGGTATAAAAACTGCAACTGCAAGTGATGTTTGTTTATTTATGTTATATTTAGACATCTGATGGATGGATGTAATGTAATTCTTTCAGGTTGCAAAATTTGTGAATGGACTGTGTGCGAACGTGAACCTAGTCACTTGACCAGTCAGTTATTTCTCAATCTTACTCTTCATCATTTGCTTCCTATGAAAACCCTGAAATGCCTTCAAAGAAACTTTTATCTTCATTAATGGACAAGCCTTCAATATTAACCGATGATGTAGATGTTGCATCAAAGCAAGATGTATCAGGTCAGCAAGTTTATATTAGTCTTTTTTCTACATACAATCATACTTGCCTGCCCTTGCACCACGGACCTACTTTAAACTCAAGCAAAACAAGAACAAGAAAGGAAAGAAAAAACCGGAACAAAGGACAATTACTAGGTGCCAAAGTCTCTTCCTTAATAAGCAAAACAAAGAAGATTCTGAATACAAATAAAGATGCAACACAAACCTATATTTATACTAGACACATAATGAGTTTGACTCTAACACAAAATTTAGGAAGAAACTTAATTTCCTATTTTACCCCTAGAACTAAAAAGCTGTTATTTTTTTATTCATGAGTTGGCATCATGGATATTATATATAATTAGGGCTGGTCCGTTGATTTAGACAGGTAAAATGTTTTTTTTTTTTTTTATTTTTTATTTTTATTATTTTCTTAATTGATGATTTTGAATTGTTTTTTTTTGTTCATGAATTTGGTAGGTTAGATAGCCTAATTGGGTTGTTTGGAGCAGGATGTCAACCAAATTCAACTAATGACCCTTTTGGCCTACCAAGAATCTCATATGGTCTTGTTAGTCAACTGACAATTTAAGTTAGTCAACTCTTATCTGTTGTCTTTTGATTGATTATAATTTATAGTTGTTGATGGGTGTTTTTTTTAGGTCCAAGTGTTGGTAGAAAAAGATAGAAACTTGGACTTACAACATGCTTTGGAAGTTGATGCTTCTGTGCAATCTTTAAAAATAGATGTTGTAACAATATGCGAGGTAGACTTATTCTTGTTTCTTGTCATTTTTATTGCATTTGATGATAAGGATTAGGAGGGCATTTATGTCTTTTTTTATAAATCTTTTTTTTTATAAATCTTGTTTCTTGTCATTTGCTGCTAAGGTATATATTATTCTTATATAAAATGAAATTGTAAATTTTTATATTCTTTTTTATAAATCTTTTTATGTTTTATAAAAAAAATTAGGCTGTGGGAAAGGTGTTGCCAAAGCTAAATGGAAAGCTTACTGGAATGGATTTTAGGGTTCATGGTTTGATGGGTTTAACCAAACAAAGAGTCTTACGTTATGTTCCACAATTGCCCCTGATACATGCATGATGCTCTTAACTAGTCGGCTAACAAATCTTCTGAATACATCAACTGGTATTATATGACTATGAATTTAATTTTAAACAACAAATTCTTGATCATCTTTCGCTTTTATAAGTTGGTTGGTTTTGTAATTCTCAGATTGAAGCTACTGTGATGCCTGAAGATTACAGACAAAAGAAGGTATTATATTACGAGTTTCTTGAAGTATACATATACTTCCAATTATTCTGATGGTTTGGAATGCCAAAAATTTCCGTTTCTGATTATCATCTTCTCTTTCTATTGCCATATGCTCACACAAATTTCTGTAGCTGATTACACATTAATTTAATTATGCAGGTTTTGATGGAAAAGAATCATGTTAATGCTCTTCATAGAAAAGTATCTTGGTATTTTAGGAAATTTGGCTAATAATTTAGTTAATTATATAAAAAATGTTGAAATGTTACATTTTTCTACTATTGGAATGATTAGTTGATGTATTACATTTGTCTAGTATTGGAATGATTATTTGTATGACATTAACTTTTGTGAAATGTATTGTATTTTTTGTATATGGTATTTTATTTTCTATTATGAGACATGAAATGAAAATTTAATTTGAAAATCAGTAAATCTATAAATAATTTTTTTTAAGAAAAAATTAAAATTACGATATGCAAAAATGTGTGTCGTCTTCATTTATGACATGACCTTTCTTGATAGGGGCTTCCTTGATACGCATTGTGTGTCATAAACACGCACGTCGTAAGGTTATGACACGTAAATGCATGTCGTCTTCCTTTATGACAGGGCCTTCCTTGATACGCATTGCGTGTCATAACCGCGCGTCATAAATGCGTGTAGTAAATGCGCGTCGTCTCTCTTTATGATAGGGCCTTCCTTGACGCGCATTTGCACATCGTCTGAGCATTTTACTACGCGCAATGAGCGTCGTAAAAGGCTGTTTTTCTAGTAGTGCACACACAGAATTGGTAACAGTACACACACACATTCAGGAAAACATGGGGTTTTCCTGGGGATAACATTGAACATAACCTGAATCGGTAACAATTAGCACAGACAGAATTGGTAAGAGTACACACACATTTAGGAAAACATGGGGTTTTCCTAGGGATAACATTGAACATAATCGGAACCGGTAATAGTTAGTACACACAGAATTAGTAACAGTTCACACATGCACATGTAGGAAAATATAGGATTTTCCTGAGTAACTATAACGACGTAAATTTTAAAACCAATGTTTCATTTTTACAAACATCAAAACATCGAGTAATAATTTAGATTCCAATGTAAACAATATTATCACGACGGATTACATAACAAGATCACAAAAATAGTTTTCCCCGAGTGTGTGTACGATCACACTGGCGCCTTCCCACGGTCCTCGCTAGTACCTGAAACACATAACACAACAACTGTAAACATAAATGCTTAGTGAGTTCCCCAAAATACAACCTACGCACATACGCCTTTCCAGGCCCTGACCTTCCGGTCCATTTGTCTCAGAGGACTTCCGTCCCGACTGGATAAACCTTCCAGTCCTACCCACGTCAACCTTACGGTTCACATTACAACACCTTCCGGCCCGTAACATATTCTCCTTCCGGCCCATAACATAATGCCTTCCGGCCCATATCAAGCATATCATACATGGCACATATAACGATTAACTTGTCACACATAATTCATATATCTCATATCATATCTGACCTTCCGGTCACACAGTTAAACCCTTCCGAGTACAGTATAGTGAGAAGACTCACCTCGTATATCTCGATAACTCGCGAACCCTGGAAATCACTCGTGCTAGAACCCCCGAGCTATAATCCTCCTAAAACATCATATATCTCTAATTAATACTTTTACCACTAAGGTTGACTATCCCTATCAAGTCAACACTGGTCAACTCTGGTCAACAGTCAATGGTCAATTTGACCAGACTCGACGAGTGCACTAGAGCGACTCGGCGAGTCTAAGCGTTTCCACCAACTCGCAAGGATTTCCCTTTGATACGTCGAGTACTCCTCTGACTCAACGAGTTCCACCTGGTCATGAATCGTAGTGCCACCGCGACTCAACTCGTCGAGTCCACCTGTGAATCCCTCTCTAACTCCCCATGACTCACTGAGTCAACCATAACTCGGCAGGACCACTCATTAAGTGGTTAAGGACAATCTTCATGCTACTCGCCGAGTCTGTTCTTCAGACTCGGCGAGTCCATGCCATACATCGACTCAAACTTGCTTCTGAGGTCAGATCTGCTCCATAAACTCATAGATCTGGCCCTCCTAAGCTCATTTATCACGTAAAGACACAATCTTGGCCAACATGCAACACTTACAAGGTTCTTTTTGGAGAAATGACCACTAATATGGCAACCCTAGCCCCCAACCCAAAAGGAAGGACATAAAGCATAGCATTTGGGACTTTCTGGACCTGCTAAGGTCCAGATCTAGGTACCATATCTCCATGGGACCTCTCACACTTCAATTACAAAGCAAATAAGGCAAGAAGAAATCCTGGATTTGACCATATCAACATAAACACGGAAATAAGCTCTGAAAGATACCTCAAGAAGCTTCCCTTGGCGAAATGGAAGTAGATCCAAGCTCCCAACTCTTCTAGCTTGAATCTCCCCCTTCCTTTCTTACAAAAACACACAAATTTGGTGAACAATAGCCTCTTATCTCACTCACAGGAACCCTTAGCTGCTTTGGTGCTCTCAAGGATCAAGGTGTCCGCAATGAAGGGCCATAAGATCCTTTAAATAGAGCCTAGGACCGGAAAATTAGGGTTTCATCAAACAGCGCGGACTCGCCGAGTCCAGGCGCGAACCCGCATCCAGAACCACGACCCTACTCGACGAGTTCGAGCTCCAACTCGCCGAGTCCCCTCACAAAACACCAAAAATATGCGAATAAAAGATACCTGGAAATCCAGGCTATTAAAATTCTCCCCCACTAGAACGAGTCTTCGCCCTCGAAGTCTCGCTCTGCAAATAGCTCCGGATGCTGCTCACGCATCTCACGCTCCGGCTCCCACGTCATCTCTGAACCCTTCCGATGCTGCCCCTGAACCAACACGAGTGTGTGACAACCCCAAATATATTTTCGTTACAAAACCTATTTTCACTAACGGAATGCGTCACTATATGTTATTTTCGGTAATGTTTGGAGTCGTCAATAAACAAATATCTCGTTAATTATATGTTCCGATATTATCATAAGTATTTATAACTTGTATATGTTAACCCCGTTTAACTAAATAAAGTTATATTACTTTTCAACCACTTCACCCGGGTAAAAAGTTTTAACCCCGTTAAACTTTAGCATCGGATAGCCGTGTATCGGGTGCAATACCCGAGACATATATAAACAAATGGACACTACAATTGAACTCTTTTACCACACCTTCACTCTCTCTCACTACTTTCTCTCTGTAGACCCGAAACCGACCCCAAATCCGCAAATTCCGGCTTCCAAACGTAAGGACTCATTCCCTATCTTATTCTAAACATACTTTATTGTATTTAGAGGCCAAAAATCATTGAAAACAAGGACCAAAAAGGAGTTTACGGCCTAAGAATCCCCTTAGGCCGTAAACACCTAAAAACTTGTCAAAAGCCTCATTTTTCCTTCCTTTAAATTTATGTACTAATTAAGGGATATACCTAGGAGAGTTTGGACATTAAAACACAAGAGTTTTAAGCTTAGAAAGGAGTTTACGGCCCAAGCTTATGCTTAGGCCGTAAACACCCCAAAAACCCTTGTTAAAAGCCCCAAAAACTCATCTAGGGTGTTTAGTAATTTAGTCTTGACACTAGGAAATCTTTAAGTGCATTAAACAACACCATTTGGGGATAAAAAGAGGAGTTTACGGCCAAGTCTAAGCTTGGGCCGTAAACACACAATTTTTATGTCAAACAAGTCCCAAAAACTTATCTAAGGCATGTAAGGAATTTAGCTAAGGCCCTAGGAAGTCTGTTGTACCTTTAAACTTCTCATTTTGAGGCCAAAAGAAGAGTTTATGGCCAAGGATATTCTTGGGCCATAAACTCCCCAATTCTTATGCCAAAATGTCCCAAAACTCCATCTAAGGCCTTCTAGAATTTACCTAAGGTGAAGGGAAGTGTGTTGTACCAATTAAACATCCATTTTGAGGGATTAAATGGAGTTTACGGCCCAAGCACAAGTCTTGGCCGTAAACTCCCCAAAATGTCACAAAATGAGGGTTTAATCCCTCCATATTAGTTCAAGACACATACTATTAAATTAAGGAAGTGAAATAAGGCCTTAAACTTGTATTTTGGAAGACCACATGAGTTTACGGCCAAGCCTAGGGGGCTTACGGCCGTAAACTCCCAAGGAGTGGCCTTTGGGCCGTAAACTCCAAGGGAGTGAGCTCAAGGACCCTCCCGTAAATCTTTCTTAGCCTTATACCACTCCCAGGAACCCCGTCTAGGCCCTAAAACCCCGAATTGATGCGAAAATGCCTAAATGCTTAAATGGAAAGCATAAAATGATTAATGTCTTGTAAAACACATATTTTCATATGACATTAGGGTCCTAAAAGGTGCACAAGTCATTATTTGGAACAAAACGCTCAACCGACACTCTTACCCGATTTACCCGATTCACCCGATTTACGCGGTGTTTTAGGTGAGTTCATACCCCTTTAATGAACCTTTCAAATGTTTTATATGTTTTAGGGGGGAGATACAAGTTAAATATACATGTTACACAAGGCAGTTAATCATGTTACAGAATTAATCACATGTGATTCACTACCTGTAGTTCAAATCACATGTGATTTATCACTATGCCTTATAAATCAATCATTTGTTTTCAAAACTATTTTGGATAAACAAACAAGTTTTAAATGTTTCTTTTGTACAATACTTTTATTTAATAAATCTCCTTATAAAAATGTAACCACACTGATATATTTATATAAGTAAGACTTGAAGGACTTAGGACCGATAGCTCGCCTTATTTCCTGTTCTTGTTTGATTGTGGGCTTAGGGTAGTGGTTATCCATCCGACTGTCGTTGATTTCTTAGTTATATATCTCGTATATTAGTACGGATTACGAGTACTTCTAATTTCATTAGATGCCTAAATCACTAACCTGACTAGAACCACCCACACTAAATTAACTATAATAGGTATAGTTAAGGTCTCTATCCCTCGTTTTAACTACTACTCTACACTACTACAATTCTCTCCATTATGAAACTATACACTAATAAGAGAATACAATACGAGTTATACAAAATACTACTCCACTATAATTCAAGAGAAAGTACTAATCATGAGATAACTCATTTACCCACTATGAGATATTCTATTCGCTACACACTACGCCCGAAGTTTTCCGATAGGAAGACGACACTATATGTATAGATC